ATATATTGCAGTGTGCCAGAGTGAGAACCCCTAAAAAAGTCTTTAACTAATTTCCTTTATATTCAGTACAGTGGAACCTTGACTTGCAAATTTAATCCGTTCTGTGACCTAGCTCGTAACTCAATTTACTTGTATATCAAATTAATTTTCCTAATTTAAATTAATTGAAAAGCCATTAATCTGTTCCTGCACTCTGGAGACTAAGAAAAAATACTCAGATATGACGCTATTATCAACTGTAAGATAAAATTGGCCATAATATGGTGGCAGAGACAGCGGCAGAAGCGTCCACCATTTCTGTCCAACTTTGACTACAGTATCTTCCCATGCTCTTACTGTAAGAGAAAACAGTATTTTTGAAGCTAACTGCAATAGATCACTAGTTTTCTAAGGAAAACACTGAAACATTGTATTTATAAATAAGAAATATCATATAAAAACTGTTTATATAAAGTGTATATGTACTTACACACTTGGAGCAGAGATGGTGGGGGAGGTTGAGAGTGGGGGAGGTTGAGGGTGGGGGATGCTGAGGGTGGGGGAGGTTGAGGGTGGGGGATGTTGAGGATGGGGGATTTAAGGATGGGGGATGTTGAGGGTGGGAGGATGTTGAGGGTGGGGGGATGTTGAGGGTGGGGGATGTTAAGGGTGGGGGATGTTGAGGGTGCAGCGTATGATGGATTGCCTGGTTAAGTCCATGGAAAGCATCGTCTTTTTCTTCTCAGCACTGTCCTTTGTGCTAATTTTCTTATGACCCATGGTTAAAAAAAAGAAATTTGGCCAAATGACTAAAAAATGCAAACAAGCACGAGAGAACTGCTCTCACAGTGATGTACTGTGTACTGCTCATCATCTAGATGTTTTGCCATCAGCTGTGCCAACTAGTGGTAGCCAGCATTCTGAATTATTATTACATATATATTGTGTATTATTAATTTAGGGAACTGAAGCTCTATTATAATAATAATAATAATAATAATAATAATAATATTATTATTATTATTATTAATTTAGGGAAAAGAAGCTCTGTTGTTATAGTACAATGGAACCTCAAATATCGAACTTAATCCGTTCCAGGAGCTAGTTCTAAATTCGAAAAGTCTGAAAAGCGAAGCAATATTTCCCATACGAAATAATGGAAATAAAATTAATGCGTTCCAGAAAACCAAAAATATTCAGATAGTTTTACACACACACACAACAAATATAGTGTTCAATTATGTATTAATAAATTTAAATAAGCATATAAAATAACATTTTACTTAACTGTATTGAAGATTGGTGATGGCATCTGGAAGTTAGGGATGAGGAGAGAGGGAGTTGGGGTTAGTGTTTGGAAGGAGAATCCCCCTCCATGAGGATTTCAGGTATCAAAGCCCTCTCTGGGGTTACTTCCCTTCTCTGTTTTTTAATGCCACTAGGACCAGTTGAGAGTCACTGGACCCCTGTCTCACAAAATAACTGTCCACAGTCCTCTGTTTCCGTTGCCTCTTTAAGATTTCCCTAAAATGGGACATGGTTCTGTCGCTGAACTTGTTGCAAAGATGGCTTATTTTAGCTTGCTCAGGGTGGCTTATTTCACAGCCCCACAAGCACTAAACACAATGAAGTAATCGTAAAATGTTTGAATGAGAGCGCAGGTTAGTGTTCACTCAAGCATCAACAAAACCAGACTGCCTCATGGCGCCTGCGTGGGGACGTGGACAGAGTGGGCTGCCGGACAGGTCCGGTACCCGGCAGTTCGAAAATAGGGGCGAGTTCGATAATAGGGACAAAGTTGGTTTGAAAAAAGGGTTCTATTTTCGAAGAGTTCGATAAGAGATACGTTCGAAATTTGAGGTTCCACTGTATTATTATTATTATTAATTTAGGGAATTGGATCTGTGCTCTAGTTACCTAAATTAATAATAATAATAATAATAATAATAATAATAATAATAATAATAATAATTATTATTATTATTATTATTATAACGAACGCCACCAACTCAGTGCACTGTTTACCTTGCTGTGGTATTTGGCCAAATTTCGTTTTTCTAACCATGGGTCCTAAGAAAGTAAGTGTAAAGGACAGTGCTGAGAAGTAAAAGAGAATGATTTCCATGGAAATAAAGCATGAAATCATAGATAAACAAGCAAGGTGTCCAGGTTTTGGGTTGAGGGGGAAGGGGGGGGGGAAGCTGGCTCATAACTCAAATGTTGACTTGTAACTCAGAGCAAAACATCGACTCAGGAATGGCTCGTATCTCGAAAAACTTGTACGTTGAGATACTCGTAAGTCAAGGTTCCACTGTACTATGTTTAACTAGGCTCATGCGCTATAATGCAAATTCACATTACACATCTTTCTGAGAATGTTTGCTCTTTGTGCTATACAATGGCTGAGTGTATCTATCATAGCAATAAGTGTGTTTCTGCATAAAGTATAACTATAGCTCACTACCATATATTTAATGACATCTAAACAAAAACAAAAAGTGACACTAATACTATTACTTACCTAAGTCGTTTTGTGCCTCCAAGGCCAAATATTAGATTGCCCACAAAAATAAGAGGTAGTGGCCATATTTTATTAATAATGTCCAATGAGAAATCTGGATAATCCACAACCTTAATATGTTTGGCAATAAACAACACTATAATTGTTGCGAACATCTGAAAAAAAAAAAAAAAACACGTTGTGTAGTATGTATTTTTAATGTTTATAACAAAATTATTTTTCACCTGTTTCATATAATTACAATCAATATATTTGTATGAAAACCTTTTATTCAGAGTTGAAAAATTACCTGTCCCAATGCAACAAACTGAAAAGAGGGGAATCTGGAAAGAAAAAAAAATGTGTTAAAATATTACTAAACATCAAAAAAGGTTTGAGACAACATTAATACAACACACATGAAACTCCTGGGCCCACATAGGTCTCTTCAGTCTAATACAGAAGTGACTATTACACGGAGACAGTGGAAGAAGTGTAGAGGTAATTTTAGGGTGTTCAGTCCCTTAACTTTGATAGAGGGCTGTTTTATAATCGCATCTGTATTAGACTGAAGAAGCCCACTGAGCAGGTGAGACGTCTCATCAATAAAGATACCCGGGTGTAAATAAAGAATGTTAGGTGTTGCCCATGTGTGTCTTATTCATCAACTTGTCATATTAATAAAATTCATGACTGGAATGATAAATAACCTGCACATAGAAGAATGCTGATATCGAACGAATTTGTTCCCATAAGAAATAATGTAAATTAAATTAATCTGTTTCAAAACCCCAAAAAATATACTTACAAAAGCACTTACATAAATACACTTACATAACTGCTCGCGTTTTGAGCTGTTCGTATCCCGAGGTACCACTGTATCAATCAATCAATCAATCAAGTTTATTCTCTATAAGGATTACAATGCTGGGTTTACAGATCTTGAATATTGTGTGGTTTACATGTTTTAAAATACTAATTACAGGGGGGGCCACTAGGACACCTACCATGGCTAGGCATTTTGGGCAGACATAGATTAATTCTAAACTTTAAATTATTACAGATTATTATATTAAGGCTAAGTGACTACATTATAGTTTGTAAGTTTAGCAATGTGAATGCTTTTGTTTTGGCACAATACATAGTGTCTATATTGGAGTATCATAGGCAAGCTTATGACTAGTTAGGGTTCTTTATTTTAAGATTGAGATTCGTATTTCTGTGTTTATAGTCGATGGGTGAGTGAGTGTAAGTGTGAACCACCAGGTGGTTTATATGTAGTTAGTTGACTTGACGGGGTGTATCAGGGAGATAAAATGTTTTCTAACTGTAGTTTTGAAAGTGATGAATGTGTCTGTAGTTCTAGAGTTTTCAGGTAGGGTGTTCCAGATTTTAGGCTCTTTGACACACATTGAATTTTTGTAAAGGTTTAGTCGGACATGGGGAATGTCATAGAGATGTTTGTGTCTGGTGTTATGCCTGTGGGTCCTGTCACATCTATCAAGAAAGCATTTTAGGTCAAGGTTAATATTGGAATTTGAGGTCCTGTAGATGTAGATTGCACAGTAATAAGTGTGGATGTTCTGAACAGGGAGTAAGTTTAGATCTACTATTATACACATGCTAGAACATATATACACTGCAATAGAGAAAAAAGAAGTCCCACTGGAGATCTTCATTGACTTACGTAAAGCTTTTGATACAGTTGACCATGACTTGCTCCATGTAAAATTATCACACTATGGTATTAGAGGGCACTCCCTCAACTACCTCAAGTCTTACCTCAGCAACAGAAGCCAATATGTGTACGCAAATGGGGCAAGCTCTTCCGCACAACCAATTACAGTTGGTGTCCCACAGGGAAGTGTCCTTGGCCCTCTTCTCTTTCTCCTATACATAAATGACCGTACCAAATGCTTCGCAACTACTCAAACCCACACTTTTTGCAGATGACACCACATACGTCTTCTCTCACCCGAGCCCAGTCACGCTAGCCAATACTGTAAACACCGAATTACAGAAAATATCTACCTGGTTTGAGGACTAACAAACTTACACTAAACTTTGACAAAACCTACTTCATTCAGTTTGGTAGCAGAGCTACAGATGTACCTCTTAACATAACGATAAACGGATCACCTATCACAAAGCTAACAGAGGGAAAATTCTTAGGAATCCACCTCGATAATAGACTCAAATTTCATACACATATACAACAAATTTCTAAGAAAATTTCCAAGACTGTAGGCATACTATCGAAGATACGGTACTATTTTCCACAGTCACCCCTCCTGGCCCTTTATCACTTTCTTATTTACCCTATCTCACCTATGGAATTTGTGCATGGGGCTCAACAACAACTAACCATCTCAGACCACTAATTACCCAACAAAAGGCTGCAGCTAGAATAATGATAAATTCTCACTACAGGCAGCACACTCCACCAATATTCAAAACACTCAACCCACTCACCATACAAAACATCCATACTTATTATTGCACTTATTACATACATAGAACACTTAACCTGATATTAACCCTCCCCTCAAACATCTCCTTGCCAACCTCAACAGAACACATGACCATAATACAAGGCACAGATCACTCTTTGATGTTCCTCGTGTCCATCTCACGCTATGCAAAAACTCAATGCACATAAAAGGCCCTAAAATCTGGAATTCATTACCTGTAAATATAAAAGAAACACTACCTGTTTATAAATTCAAGTCTCTTCTCAAAGTTCACTTACTCACTCAAAAAACCCAAAAAAATACTGAATAACTGAACCATATAAATTGTATATCCTAAATGTTCCTCACAATTATATCACACAAATGTTAAACCTAACTTTGTTATTTTTTTAAATACACTACCTAACAGAATACTCCATTCTACTGAATGTACAGCAATGCATGCAACCATAGGACCTGTCTTTGTAATACTCATTTGTATTTTATAGTTATCTGTTTACAATAATGTCTTATCACTGATTTCATCATTGCTTAGTTAATCTTAAGTTAATTTTAAGCCAGCCCGTAATGCTATGCATATAAGTGGCTTTGGCATGCTGTTATTACCTGTATTTTTTGTACCTCTGTTTGTATGCTAAAATTTCTAAATAAATAAATAAATAAATAAATAATAAATCTATGAAGAGTGGGGGGGGGTGTTGCCAGGGATGGAATTTAGTGATTATTCTTACTGCGGCTTTTTGTTGGGTTATTATTGGCTTTAGATGTGTTACTGCAGTTGATCCCCAAGCACAAATAGCATAGGTGAGATATGGATAAATGAGTGAATGGTATAGTGTGAGAAGGGTAGTTTGCGGCATGTAATATCGTATCTTGGACAGGATCCCCACCGTTTTGGATACTTTTTTTATGTGATGGATATGGGTGCTGAAATTTAAGTTGTTGTCGAGGTATAGACCTAGGAATTTGCCCTCATTATGTCTGGCAATTAGAGTGTTGTCGATCTTAATGTTAAGTTGCGCAACACCTGCTCTGCTACCAAACATAATGTAGTAGATTTTGTCAGTGTTAAGTGTAAGTTTATTGGCTATTATCCAAGTCAGAATTTTGAGCAGCTCCTCGTTGACAATGGTGTTGAGGGTGGCAAGATTAGGGTGGGAGATGACATAAGTCGTATCGTCAGCAAAGAGAATGGGTTTCAGGTGTTCGGATACGTTTGGAAGATCATTAATCTAAATGAGGAAGAGCAGGGGACCAAGAACACTTCCCTGCGGAACTCCAGTATCAAGTGGCCGTGTTGATGAGGCTGTGTCTTTAATGGTGACAAACTGATACCTATTAGTAAGGTAGGATTTGAAATATGCAGGCGCATGGCCTCTTATACCATAATGGTCAAGTTTGTGGAGTAGGATGCCGTGGTCTACTGTGTCAAACGCTTTTCTTAGGTCAATAAAAGTTCCTATTGGATATTCCTTATTTTCCAATGTTGTGTAAAGCAGATCTAGCATTTTTACAATTGCATCATTAGTACTTTTATTTTTCCTGAATCCATATTGGCAGGGGTTGAGTATGTTTTGTGCCGTTATAAATGAATATAGTCTCCTGTGCACAAGTTTCTCGAAGATTTTGGATAGCAATGGTAAGTTTGATATTGGCCAATAGTTGTTTACATCTGTAGGGTCACCTTTATGTATTGGTGTAACCCTTGCTATCTTGAGTAGTGTCAGGAAAATGCTAGTTTCTAGTGACTTGTTAAAAGTAATGTAATAGCATGCTTAAGTATATATACATATATATATATATATATATATATATTATATATATATATATATATATATATATATATATATATATATATATATAAATTCGACTTTTGGCAAGTTTTTTCTGCAAAATTTGGCCTCAAGTTTCGTGATTAGACTTGTGATTCGGCGACTGGCCAGTACCCGTCCGCCCATCACCGCGCACACAAAGCCAGTCTCCCACGCCATTCACGCTCAGTGTGCCATTGTTTACCAACACGTGACCATCACCCCGCGGGTTCATACGTAATAATCCATTGTTTTTTGTGATTGCAACTGCTAAATAAGTCACCATGGGCCCAAGAAAAGCTAGTGCAAGCCCTTTGGTAAAGAAAGTGAAGTACACAATCCAGAGGGATTTTGAAGGGTTTGAGGCAGACCCTGACCCTGCCGACCCTCTGCCTGTTGTGGAAGGTGTTGTGGCATGGTGTTGGAGGTGAGTGACGGGGCTGTGGAAGAGTTGGTGGAGGACCACAGGGAAGAGCTAACCACTGACGAACTGCAAGAGCTTCAACTGGAGCAGCATCAGACCACAGCTGAGGAACTTGCTTCAGAGGAGGAAAATGAGTGAAGGAGGTGCCTTCTTTGGTGATTAAAGACATGTGTTAAAAGTGGAATGAATTGCAAAGTTTTGTTGAAAAGTATCACCCTGACCAAGCTGAACAAGCCATATCTGCAACATGTTCAGTGACAAAACCTTGTCCCACTTCAGGCAAATCATAAAGAAATGCCAGAAACAGACCTCTCTGGACAGACATTTTGTACGACAGGGGTCCAGTGACTCTCAAGTTGTTCCCAGTGGCATTAAAAGAAGAAGGGAAGTAACCCCAGAAAAGGACTTGCTACCTGAAGTCCTAATGGAAGGAGATTCTCCTTCCAAACAATAGTGTACACCTTCCTCCTATCCCCTCCTCCCGTCTTCCATCCACCCAGAAGTCTTCAGTAAAGGTAAGTGTAATGTTATTATTATTTTTTATATGCATGTACTTGATTTCTGATCGTTTTCAGTATATAAATCTTTATTTAATTTGAAAAAAAAAATATTTTATTTTAATATTTTTGGGTGTCTGG